ACTGTTCTGGTCTGTATCGGTTTTCTTAACGTCTAACTCTCAAACCTGTCCGAAATAGAACTCGGCACCACTTTCCTGACACATTCTGCTTTCTAGAGAAACACGAAATTCGTCTGTGAGAGACCATGCAGTCTCCATTACCCTTAAACGGTTTTTGGAGTTGAAGTCTGTTTTAAAGAAAGTTATGCCTTTAACACAAGTGATCAAGTGACTCAAGCATAATGAAGTGTATGAATATCATTTCACTTGCTCATATCGGCAGCATGTGTCTACGCATTTGCTTGTTTATTTGGCGACGTGTGATTGAGAATGTCTAGAAAGTGTACATAAATGGAGACAACAGGCACAGTAGCATGCCAGGCTCAAAGGGAGTGCTGAATATTGCGTATCCTTTCTTTTGTTCGTAGCCAGAATAATGTATATAAAAAATAAGCGTCTTTGAGATTAAAATTCGGGGCTATCTCTTGTATAATGAGGGGATTTAACATCAAACCACGGAAGTTAGCTATCTCAGATTTTCTCTTACACTTTTCTCATTAATTTTGAAATGCTTTATTCAGGCCGGTCGGATTAGGGATTCTCTGGATAAGCTACATTCAGAAGAGAGGACAGTAATCGAGCCCTTTAACTTATTATAAAAAATTCACGTCATTTTCACAAGTATTCCACCAAATCTTCTCCCCTTCGTTGTAAAAAGCGACTGGCGACGGATTTTTGTGTCTAATCGAAAGGGCCAAACAGAAAAAATCTGCACTGGTTTTTCACTTTTGGTCATACTGGACTAGAGCCGACTAAATTAACAGCTAGACTCGGACAATCCTAACAATCAAATTAAAGGAGTTAAAGCCGTTTAACTAAAAGGAAATAATAAATGATGAGATCGTGTTTACGCTGATCCTAAGGCACTATTGAGAATGTGTCAGGCCTAGTTGTGGTAACTGCCCTTTTGCGCGAAAGTGTTCGATGGAGAGATTACTAATAGGATCTTACCATACAACGACGGTCGATTTCCGTTGCCTTGCCATCGTTTAATTTTGCTATGATGATGAGTTCCGATCAATTCAAGAAATATCCACCTTCAATTCCGGTAAAGATGGGTCGATATATCGTCGGCAGACATAGTAAAAACTATTTCTCCCACATTGACATGAGTAGACATAGTCTTGCTTCCAAAAAGATATTCTCATCCAGGGTGGACTGCAGTCTCGACCTCGCTTAGGTCTTATCAACACCCCCAGCAAGGACTCGAACCATGACAGTTCGGTGTGTAATCCCAACACATCTCATATATCTGATTTACTGGTAGTCCTTAAAACATACTCTATACAAAAAAATAAGCAATGGCATTGATTGCTATAGGAAATATAAATCTGTTTTATCTAAAATTTCACCCAAAATGTGATGTGGGGAAATGCCTTGCCTTCCTTAAAATTCACACCCACCCATTGACTCAAGCGCACTCCTGGCAATATGGGGTGATATTTAATCTGTTGAGATTACCCGTTGCACTGTAATGGATTGAGTCCGGCTAGGGTTGTTGATAAGACCTAGGCGAGGTCGAAACTGCAGTCTATTCTGGATAAGAATATCTTTTGAAAAAGCAAGGCCATGTGAAATTCAATGGGATCGTCATTTCTACTCACTACCCTCCTTAATCAACTTATATGAAATAAGATGAACACAGCATATACTAAAACTGGATCTTGTTCTACTACAAATTCCATATTAACCAAAGTTGACTCGTCTTCTTTTGGACGGCGGCTCAACATTCTCTCTCTTTCAATCAAGCGTAAGCAATTCTTACTCAATTTTCTACTACCATTCCTCACATTCAACGTATTCTTCTCTTGCATTTCGTAGCAGACATACTATAATCAGCAAACCTCTGCATATGAGACCATTCTGTGTCATGTCCAGTCTCCGTCATGTATTTCGACACTTCTGGTCGGTCTGCCGATCCACCAAAGATTAGCGGAGCACCAAAGTGCTTGTAGAAGCAGCTGGGCTGAGCGCTCAGAATTGGCAGAACACATGACGGAGGCTGGACTTAAGATACAATGGTCACATACGCAGCTGTTTGCTGATTATGCTATGTATGATACGAAACGCAAGATAAGATAGGCTACTGAAATTAATAGATTAGGTAATACGTTGATAGTGGTTTAAAGATAGAGTACGAACTACTGATATTTGATGATAGATTGAAAGACAGAGAGGGTGTTGAGCAGCCATCCAAAAGATTGCGACTTATCCACTCAGTGATGGTTCTAACCAAATTCACACTTGTTCCATATGCATGTTTAGATCGTCAACAAAAATAGACGAACCCAGACTAACGGATTCAGACTGGCGGTTTCGTGACCTGACCTTCAAGCGTACGAACTTACATCCCATCAATTTAACCAGGGTTACTTACGGACTAACGCAATCTTGGAGAGTCATTTTTCCTTTTTCCTTTGATCATTAAGCCTTGGTGACCCGGGGCTGATTACTCTGAGTTATGGCAGATTTTTCATACATACATTAAAATACATACACACATACACATTCGAGTATACGTAAAGTAACCAACTATTTATATATCCATCTATATAACAAATTTTGCTCGCACTGAGTATATATATATATATATATAATGTAGAAAAACGCCGGTCAGTCTTCCTGATTTAGTGTTGACTTGAGGCTTTTGTAAGAATGAGTCGATATTCGTCATATGACAAATATATACTCAACCCGTCTTTGCCCGAAACTGCGCAGGATGTCTCATGGACTGCGTCAACCTGAACGTCTTAGTAAAGCCAGACGACTGCGGTACAGCGCAAATCAGCTGGCGTATTCTGGTGAGATTTAACTTACGAATCTCTTCATCATGTACTTCCATACGAAATGAAAGTCTTTACAGCAATCTTATCTCAGGAGATTCTTCGATATCCGCAGTTTTTGGGCATGGCTCATCTCCGCCACAAACGAAAGAGGATATTTCGTGGGTTGAGTCGACTTCAACTGCAGGGACACGTTAATCAACCATCTGATATTCTCGAAAAGCTACCGAATGTGGATATAATAACTGTGATGTTTGGGTGCGAGTATGCGTGTGATTACTAGTGTGAGTGCATAGAATAAAACTTAACTTCCGTCTATGGTAGTCAAGGCCTAATGTCTCAGAGAATGACTTGACTGCAATTGAGTTGATAAACCTGACAAATGTTTTGAACGCTTGAGAATGTGGTTACAACTAATACTAAGCCGATCAGTTGCATCACGTTCTTTGTGTAGCTGGCTTCTTAAATCTTCCCATCTTAAGTTTTAGTGGCACATACCCAATTTCCCGCCTTTTTTAACACATCTAACGAATTCCTTGATCTGCTCCTTTGGCTAGCCTCCTCTTTTGCAATTAGCAGAGAACACGCTATAACTACACGCAAATGATACTTTCGAGTACATTTGATCTCTTTTCGAGTTTCAGTCCTGGACCTAACTACCTCCGGTCTTTGAGCCCAACAGCTCTTGTAGGCTTTTGAATGTGATCAGTTAGACATTATATGAATTTTGTAGTGTTTTGGAAAGTTTCAGAGTAACCATGACTCTAGTATAAGCGACAGCCAGATAGCAAGCGTATTTGTGACTACCAGATGGCTATAGCAATGGGGCCGGAGCTATACGATATGGCCGGGCTCTGGGTAAGCTCCCCTGATGACTTCGGGGGGAAGAAGATTATTTATTTCTTGACTTTGTCAGAAACTACCCTCCAAAGAGCCCACCAATTATGCCCTATCAGAGCGCCCGAAACTTATAAGCAGGCATTAAATCATGGGTTTAGCAGTCAGTGCCACATCTAAAACATGTGAAACACTCCCATGACTGCGTCTGCTTAGCGCACAATTGGCAGTCTGTTTGGCCAACCGGGTTGCTAGTGTGCGCAACTCCGCTTTGCCCGAGGATACCTCGGTGAACTGCCGAGAAGGCCGAAGTGTTGGGCAGACTTTGCCAACATTCGGTGTCCACAACTGTCTGGCCTGGACTGGACGGGTCGCGAAGTGTGTTGCGTTCGCCTAATTCAGTTCGAGATGCATAGTCGCTAAGCTAGACCGACTGAAGCATATGTATACATATCCTCTCGACTTGAGATACCGAAGAATGATAGTTTACCCAAACACATCTGCTTATTATGCAGAATAAAGGGCAACACGGACACAGTTAAAAACGAGCAGTCAGGATTAGTACATTAATATCAAAACTTGCATTTCGTATGGAAGTACATGATGGAGAGATTCGTAGGTCAATTTCACAAGAAGACGTAGGCTGGTTCGCGTTGTACTGCAGCTGTCTTGCTTTAATACGACGTTCAGGTTGGTGCAACGTTTCGGGCGAAGACGGTCTGAGCTTTCATTCGTCATGTGACAAACATCGTCAGAGCTGGGATTCATTGTGGTAAAAGCATCAAGCTAACATTTAAGGAAGAATAATAACCAGCCTTTTTATATATA